CTATGGGTCTCTATGGGGTCCCTATGTGTTCCTATGTTTCCCTATCGGTCCTATTGACCATATTGACCCTATTGCCCCCATCGGTCCCACTGACCCCATTGCCCCTATTGCCCTCATCAGTCCCATTGACCCCATTGCCCCTATTGGTCCCATTGACCCCATTGACCCTATTGCCCCTATTGCCTCTATTGACCCCATTGACCCTATTGCCCCCATTGGTCCCATTGACCCCATTGGTCCCATTGGTCCCATTGCCCCTATTGGTCCCACTGACCCCATTGCCCCTCTCAGTCCCATTGACCCCATTAACCACACTGACCCCATAGGTCCCATTGCCCCTCTCAGTCCCATTGACCCCATCGACCATACTAACCCCATTGACCCCATTGCCCCCATAGGTCCCATTGCCCCCATAGGTCCCACTGCCCCCATGAGTCCCATTGCCCCCATAGGTCCCATTGCCCCTGTCAGTCCCATTGACCCCATCGACCCCATTGCCCCCATGGGTCCCATTGACCCCATTGACAACACTAACCCCATTGGTCCCATTGCCCCTATCGATCCTATTGACCCCATTGACCCTATTACCCTCATCAGTCCCATTGGCCCTGTTGCCCCTATCGGCCCCATTGGCCCCATTGACCCTATTGCCCCCATCAGTCCCATTGACCCTATTGACCCAACAGTCCAATTGACCCCATTGACCCTATTGCCCCCATTAGTCCCATTGACCCCACTGACTCTATTGCCCCCATCAGTCCCATTGACCCCATTGACCCTGTTGCCCCTATCGGCCCCATTGGCCCCATTGACCCTATTGCCCCCATCAGTCCCATTGACCCTATTGCCCCTATCGACCCCACTGAACCTATTGCCCCTATCGGTCCCATTGGCCCAATTGCCCCTCTTGGTCCCATTGACCCCAATTGGCCCCACTGACCCTATTGCCCCTATTGGTCCCATTGACCCCATCGACCATACTAACCCTATTGCCCCTATTGGTCCCATTGACCCTATTGACCCTGTTGCCCCTATCGGCCCCATTGGCCCCATTGACCCTATTGCCCCCATCAGTCCCATTGACCCTATTGCCCCTATCGACCCCACTGAACCTATTGCCCCTATCGGTCCCATTGGCCCAATTGCCCCTCTTGGTCCCATTGACCCCAATTGGCCCCACTGACCCTATTGCCCCTATTGGTCCCATTGACCCCATCGACCATACTAACCCTATTGCCCCTATTGGTCCCATTGACCCTATTGCCCTCATCAGTCCCACTGACCCCGTTGCCCCTATCGGTCCCATTGGCCCCATCAACCCCATTGCCCCCATGGTCCCATTGACCCCATTGACAACATTAACCCCATAGATCCCATTGGTCCCATTGCCCCTATCGATCCTATTGACCATATTGACCCTATTGCCCCTATTGGCCCCATTGGCCCCATTGACCCTATTGCCCCCATCAGTCCCATTGATCCTATTGCCCCCATTGGCCCCATTGACCCCATTGCCCCTCTTGGTCCCATTGACCCCATCAACCATACTAACCCCATTGACCCCATTGCCTCCATTGGTCCCATTGACCCCATTGACAACACTAATCCCATTGACCCCATTGACCCCATTGCCCCTATTGCCCCTATCGGTCTCATTGCCCGTATTGGTCCCATTGGTCCCATTGCCCCTATTTGTCCCACTGACCCCAATTGGCCCCACTTACCCTATTGCCCCTCTCGGTCCCATTGACCCCATTGACCCTATTGCCCCTCTCGGTCCCATTGGCCCCATTGACCATACTAACCCCATTGACCCCATTGCCCCCATTGCTCTCATTGACCCCATCGACCCCACTGACCCCATTGGTGCCATTGCCTCTATCGATCCTATTGACCATATTGACCCCATTGGCCCCATCGCTCCCATTGGCCCCATCGACCCCATTGCCCCCATGGGTCCCACTGACCCCATTGTTCCCACTGACCCCGTTGACCCTATTGCCCTCATCAGTCCCATTGACTCCGTTGCCCCCATTGGCCCCATTGACCCCATTGACCCCATTGGTCCCATTGGTCCCATTGCCCCTA